ATCACCATCACCACCATCACCAGCATCAGCATCAGCATCATGGTCATCACCATCACCATCATCATCAGCATCAGCAGCATCATTGTCAGCACCATCATCATCATCATCATCATCAGCAGCAGCATCAACATCTGCAGCAGCATCATCATCATCATCAGCATCACAAGCATCACCAGCATCATCATCAGCGTCATCAGCAGCATCAGCATCAGCATCATCAGCATCACAAGCATCACCGTAATCATCATCACCATCATTATCAGCAGAAGCATCATCAAAGTCATCACCAGCATCTGGATCGTCTTCTCCATCATCGTCATCCTCATCAGCATGAGCATCATCAGCAGCATCACCACCATCATCATCAGCATCAACAGCAGCATATTCATCTGCATCCGCATCATCGTCATCATCATCATCATCATCATCATCATCATCAACATCAGCATCAACAGCATCATAGTCAGCATCAGCATCATCATCAGCAGCATCAGCATCGCCAGCATCGTCAGCATCACCATCATCATCAGCATCAGCATCATCATCAGCATCATCATCAGCACCATCGTCATCATCTACATCATCATCAGATTCCAGCGCACCATCATCATCGCATCTACATTATCACCGTAATATATCATAAGCTCATCCGCATCATTCATTGTCAGTGCCATCATCATCATCATCATTCATCATCTTTCATCTCATCATCATATCATCTTCTCTCATCTTCATCATTCATCATCATCATCATCATCATCATCATCATCATCCTTCATCAGCTATTCATCAGCATAAGCTATCAGAATCAGCATCGTCACCACCATATCTTTCCCCATCCTTCAACGCATCATCATCTCAGCATCATCACACCACCATGATCATCAATCAGGCTAGCATCGTCATCAACAGTATCATCATCAGCATCATTGTCATAATCACCATCATCAGCATCAGCGTAATCAGCATCATCATCAGCAGCAGCAGCATCAGCAGCATCATCTGCATCATCATCAGCATCAGCATCAGCACCACCATCACCAGCATCATCATAATCATCAGCAGCACCATCGTCATCATCATCTTCATCATCATAGTCAGAAGCATAATCATCATCAGCATCAGCACCATCAGCAGCATCATCATCAGCATCATCTTCATCAGCAGCAGCATCAGCATCATCATCGTCAGCAGCAGCATCAGCATCATCAGCATCAGCATCATCAGCATCATCATCATCAGCAGCAGCATCATCATAATAATCATCATCTGCAGCATCATCATCATCCACAACCTTCCTCCTCCTCCTCCTCCTCTTCCACCTCCGCCTCCTTGTCCTCTTTCGCCTCCTCCTCCTCCTAGCCATTTCGCACTCGAAAACTTTGCAGTCACGTACTTCGAAGTGGCGCTCGTGCCTGCGAGCCAATCGTGCATCGAGTGATGGCAGCGTGAAGTCGCCAGTGGAGGAGGTGCCCAACAGCGGCACGTGGTGCGCTTGCTGCGGAGCGGCCATGTTGGGCTGCTGGCTGCCCGTCCTCCTGCATGTCCTCTGCCTGGCCGTGGCAGCCCCGCCCGTCGCAGCGGCGGACGTCAAGACCGACGAGGAGGGCGCCCCCGAGGGCACCTGGGGCCTGGCCCGACCCCCCTCCCACTGCGGCCGCAGAAACCGAGGGCCCGCCGTTGGCGGGCGGCGGCGGCAGACCGCCGGGGAGCCGGCGGCCAGAAGGAGGAGGTGGAGGAGCTGTGAAGGGGCCCTGGGACACACAAATACATACACACAAATAAAAAGCTTCCCCATATTTTCCTGTATTTTCTGTGTTCTTGATTTCCCCCCCACTTCCCACATTTTCCCATATTTTCTGGGGAATCGCCGATGAGTTGTGTCGGTGTGTTTCTTTCCCTCCTGAAGCTGGTCCGCTCCCGCAGCGCCAGGACGGCAGCTGGCAGAGAGCCCAGCGTCCTGCCTGGGCCCGGCCAGCTGGCGGGCGGTGGCGGCCGCGGCGAGGAGGAGGGCGTCGGGGCCGCCAGGCTCGCAGCCCTCGCCAGCGACGGCGACGGCGACGGCGACGAGGAGGGCAGCGACGAGGCAGGAGCAGCGGGTCTCGGCGCGCTCGGCAGTGGCGGTGGCCGCGCTCGTGGGCATCGGGAGCGCGCGCGCGCGCGCCGCAGCCAGGCGTAGCAGGAGCGTCGAGAGGAGGCCGCACTGACAGAGGCCCTGGAGGAGGCGAAGACGGAAGAGCTCAACCTGAACAACGAGGAGCAGCTCATCGGCGCCGTCGACAGTGTGGGACACGGCTACGAGGCAAAGCTTGCGGCCAAGCGCTGCCTCGTACAGCACCGTGTTGCGGTTCGCAACATCCTGCAGGAGGAGAGGCTGCATAAGTTGTTCGAGGATGTGGACAAAAAGAAGATCGGCAAGTCCGTGCAGGACACACTCTTCCCGCTGGAGCGGGATCACCTCCAGCTTGTCGACCTTTGCGGGCTCGAAGGCAAGCGGGAAAAAGCTGGAGGACATCGTCGAACCGTTCCTGATGAAGTACGGCCTCGCGCAGCCGATCATCCGCAACACCAGCCGCGAGGTGAAGCTGCGGAACAAGCTCGAGGACAGCGGCGAGGGGCACCTGGACTTCGTCGGCTCCGAGGGCGCCCAGATGGCCACTGCCCCGCAGGAGCCGGAGTGGCCCGAGCTCGGCTTCGGCATCGCGGCCCTGGGCCAACCTGAGCGGCATCCTCGGGCTGGGACGTCGCGCACGGTGCCTCCCCCGTGGCGTCTTCGACCTGAGGAGGACCCCATCTGGATCAGGTGGGGGCGGCGGCCTGTCCGTGGCAAACGCCGGGGCCGCCATGCCTCCAAGTTCTACCCCAGCTGATCTCGGTTCGCGACCACGCGGGGCAGCCACGGCATCAGCTTCTGCACCAGCGGATCGCGGTTGCCGCCCGCGCGGGGCCGCCGTGGAGGACATCGTCAACCCAATGCTGACGAAATGCGACCTGGAGGATCCCGTGCTGACCGCCCGCTGCGCCGTGCAGGGCGCGAAGCTGCAGGTCCAGCCCGAGGAGAGCGAGGAGGTCGAATCGGAGGAGGCTGCGGAGAAGGTCGGAATGGCGCAGCGGTGGCGTCCTGCGATCGGCGACCGCGTCCGCCTCCCCGACGGGCGCGTGGGGGAAGATGCACGGCGAACCCGAGCCCGACGAGAACGGCATGATCGCGGTGCTCCTCGGCGGCCGCCGGCTGGGGCGCGCCCGGCAGACCCCCTCCGATGCGGTGCGGCCCGCCAGCCCAGCCTCGCCAACTCGAAGGAATCCGAGGCGGTCGTCCACGGAGGCAGCACGGCCCGTGCTTCGAGGGCGCCGTGCTGAGCACCTCGGCGGGCCGCGGCGCGCGGCCGCCGCCCGACGCTCGGCGCGCTCGCGCGTGCGGTGACGCTCGGGGGTCGGCCCGCCGCGGCCCGCGGTGGGGGGCTCGTGCACCTCCCTGCGCGGCGCGAGGGCGAGCCCCCGCGTGGCGTCCCGCACCGGCGGTGCGAGACCTGGCTTCAGGCCGCTTGCACATCTCACCTCACCTCCTTCTCCTCCTCCTCCTCCTCCTCCTCCTCCTCCTCCTCCGCCCTCCTCCTCCTCCTCTCCTCATCCTCCTCCTTCCCCCTCCTCCGCGCTCCTCATCCTCATCCTCTTTCTCGCCAATCCTCATTCCACCCATTCCTCCGCATTCCTCATCATATCCTCCTCCTCATCCTCCTCCTCGCCTCCTCCTCCTCCTACTCACTCCTCCTCCTCCTCCCTCCTCTCCTCCTCCTACTCCTCCTGCCCTCCCCCTCCTCCTCCTCCTCCTCCTTTTTTTGTTCCCCACCTCCTCCTCCTCCTTCCTCCTCCGCCTCCTCACTTCCCTCCTCCTCCTCTCCTCCACTCATCTCCCTCCTCCTCCTCCTCCTCCTCCTCCGCCCTCCTCCTCCTCCTCCTGCTCCTCCTCCTCTTTCTCCTCCATGCCTTTTCCGTATACATAACTCCTCCCTGTCGCATCCCGAGGCCAGTCGGAAGGGCGGACTGGGCGTTTTTTGTATCTGATACCTCCTTACCATTTATGGTCATGAGCTTCAAAAATTGGAAACCGTTTCGCTGAGGGAGGGCGGGCCGCTTACGAAATGTGGCACTCGCCCGAGCGCCGCGCACAGTCGTCTTAAGACTCCACGGGTGTCACGAATTTTGGGCAGATGGTTTTCAAAATGTGGCTCTTGCTTTAACGCCGGACACATTCGCCTTGGAAAAATGCAAGAGCCTCACGGATTGAGGGCGGCTCCTTTCCAAAATGTCGTTGTCGCCATGGCGCCGCGCACACTCGTCTTAAACTGCCGCAAGAGTTTCATGGGTTTTCATGGTTAACGTACCATAAATGAATGTGTTGGAGCGAATCTGGACTGCCAGAGCGCAACAGTTAAATTGATTCCCGGTGCTGGTGTCCCAAGAACGGTGTTCTGGCACGACTCTGGACCGTCAAGACGCAACAGTAATGTTGATTCGTGGCGTTGGAGTCCCGAGAGTGGTGTTTCGGCACGCTTCAGGATCTTCAAACGGTTGTCTCCCAATGGGGCACGTCCCTTAGTGAAAATCAATCCCTGTTGGAGCATATGAAGAGGGAGCTTGGAGGGATGGTTGATTCCAGCATCGTTGATGAGCCTTGGGTTTACAGTAGTCCTCCTCCTCCTCCTCCTCCTCCTCCTCCTCCTCCTCCTCCACTGCCTCCTCCTCCTCCTCTGCCCCTGACGACGACACCGACGCTGGCGGAGACACGGCAGCGGCCAGGGTCTGGCGGCAAGCGGGGACAGCGGGCCCGCCCAGGTCGGCGCTGGCGCCTCCCAGGCCAGCCTGTCGATGCCGCCGACGTAATAGCTCCAGAACTCCGACCTGGACGGAGGACGACGGACGGCGAAGAAGACGACGACGACAAAAACGGACGACGACGGACTACGGAGACGATGACGACAGCGACGACGACGACGACGACGACGACAACGACGCCAACGACGACAACGACGACGATGATGACGACGACGACGACAACGAACGACCACGGACGACAGACGACCACGGACGACAGACGACGGACGAAGGCTGACGTCGAAATGTGACGACGACGACGACGATGACAGAAGAAGAAGAGGAAGTGGGGGAGGAGGAGGAGGAGGAGGAGGAGGAGGAGGAGGAGGAGGAGGAGGAGGAGGAGGAGGAGGAGGAGGAGGAGGAGGAACAGCAGCGGGCAGGGGGAGGGAGGGAGGGAGGAAGGAGGAATGCGGAGGAGGATGAAGAGGGAGGTAAGGAGGGAGGATAAGGAGGAGAAGAAGGATGAGGATGAGGAGGAGGAAAAGGAGGAGGAGGAGGAGGAGGAGGAGAAGGATGAGGAGGAGCAGAAGGAGGAGGAGCGGCGAGGAGAGGAAAGAAGCCGGAGGAGGACAGGAGAAGCAGAGGGAGCAGAAGGACGAAGGGGAGAGGGGGACGACGGAGGAGGGAGGAGGAGGAAGGGAGGGAGGATGAGAGAGTGGTGGAGGGGGGGGGGCAAGGAGAAGGGGAGGATGAGGGTCGAGCGAGCGGGCGGGCGAGCGCCAGAGTCGTGGCGCGCTCCGCTGGGAAGCAGCCCGCCCGCGGCCACCACGGGACGGCCAGAGACCGTAAGTACGTGGCCCCGGCCAGGAAGTCCATGAATGAACTCGAGCACGCCCGACGCACCGCGGGTTCGTGTCGTGTCGACCTGGTCGTTTGCGGGCACGGTGGGGGCATTTGATGAGGAGGCTTTGGATGAGGAGCCCAGGGTCTGGAAGCCGGCGGAACTCCACTCGCGGATCGGCAGTGGACATTACCGCCGCCCTCATCAGAGAAGGAACACTCCAGGTTCTGAAGCCTCCCGCGCACGCTCCTTCACCAGCAACCCCACCGCAGGCACTCTGCGAGCAGTGGAGCGCGCTCGGTGAGCTTCTCCCTGGGGCCGTCTCCGTCATGTCGGTCCATTGCGGCATTGTGCTCCGTCACAAGGCTCTCTGCCTCGCACTTACTCTTTCTCTCTCTCTCGAAGCCAGCGCTGTTTCCCGTTGAGGCCGCCACGAAGTCTTACAGCAGGGTTATGCCGCGCCGACTTCGGCGTTGGTTCCTGACACCGCGGGCATCGTTCAACCGTGAACGATCGGCCGTTTCCGAAACGTCGGATCGTTCAACATCGGCCGATTCTGGGTAGCCGGCGCCGTTCACGCTGAACCCCGGCGGCGGGGTCGCGAACCTGCCGTACGCGGGCTCACGTGATGAGCACCACTCCGCGCTTCCCGCGGCCCACATCCACCGCGAGCTGTTTGTGATGCTGAGCTCATGACGTCGCGGTTCTGTGGCCGTCCTAATATGCTCCTGCCTGGCGCCGTTGTTGCAGCAGTGCCCGTCCGAATGTCGTTATCAATCATTCTGGCTGCCCTCCATGTTTTTGGCGGCCTCGCTGTCGCGGATCGAGATTCGGGCTCCATCCGGGTACTGTCTGTCCAGCGTGCTGGGGGATGGTGAATCATAGCATTCAGCCATTGCGCGGTGCATGTGTAGTACGTCCATTAGGCCATGTTTGAGCAGCAATGCGTCTGCCGTTCGCGTGCTTCTGTGGATGTCACCCCGCATGGTACCCTCGTCGTCACTGACGTCGTCCGGCAGATCGGGCTGGTCGGCAGGTGGGCCGCCCCATCTGCCGGATTCCATGCATTCGTGTGGGCCATTACTGCCTGTGTCATGGTCATTGCTCTGGTCGGTCACTTGGTCGCAGCGCAGCAGTGGTGATAGGGCTATGCACCTCCTTGACGTTCCGATTTGCATTATGACCATACGTTGCTGTGTTCGGCGTAAATATTGTTTGAGAGGCTGTCTCAACGACAACGCCGCCTGCGCCGTACATCGTAGCAGATGTGACGGTGCCTGAGCACAGACGTTGTCGATGACCCAGTGGGTAATACTTACTGAGCGGGTATTTTCCCGTCTTTGGCAAACCATGCTTTGTAAATATACAGCTTGATCACGGTCCCGGGGCCGTCGTGCATTGCAATGTTATGGCCTAAGTAACTGGTGATACTGATTCGCAGTGAGATTGGGTGGACGAGAAAGAAGACAAAAGGGAGGAGGAGGAGGAGACGGAACCGAGAATGGGGAAGAGAAGATATCTGCGCCGTACGAACCTTCACCCACCTCCGAGTCTTCTCTCCTCCCCATTCTCTTCCTCCTCCACCTTCTCCTCCTTTTCCTCCTCCTTCTCCTGCTGCTCCTCCTCCTCCTCCTGATCAGCATCACCAATGAGCAGCAGCATCAGCACCATCACCATCATATCATCATCATAATCATCAGCATCATCGTCGTCATGATCATCAGCATCATCATCATCACCATCACATCATCACCACAGCCACAATCATCATCATCATCATCATCATCATCAGCATCATCATCATCATCATCCTCATCCTCATCCTCATCATCATCATCATCAGAATCAGCATCAGCATCATCATCCTGATCACATCATCACCACCATCATCATCAGCATCATAATCATCATCATCATCGTCATCATCAGCATCATGGTCATCACCATCATCATCAGCATCAACATCAGAATCAGCAGCATCATCACCATCGTAAACATGACTTTCATCATCATCAGGATCATCATCATTGGAACATTGTCCAGTGACCATTAGTCACGGACCACTGATCATCATCCTCCGCCTCCTCCTGCTCATCATCACCACCACCAGCATCATGCTCTTCACCACCACAACCGACACCATCAACATCAGCCACACCATCAGCACCATCACTATCATCACCAGCAGCATCATCGTCATCAGCAGCATCATCAACATCATCATCAGCAGCATCATCGTCATCATCCTCACCATCATCATCGTCGTCAGCATAACCATCACCAGCAACATCATCGTCATCATCATCACCATCATCATCATCATCATCATCATCATCATCATCATCCTCGTCGTCATTGGCATCAGCATCATCATCATCATCATCATCATCATCATCATCATCATCATCATCATCATCATCATCATCGGCATCACCATGATCATCACCATCAGCAGCAACAGCAGCAGCCTAATCATCAGCATCATCGTCGTCATCATCATCAGCACCATCATCGTGCTGATCGTAGCACCTACCACTATCAGTGCCATAAGCGTCATCAACAGCATCAGCGTCAGCAACGTCGTCGCCATCATCATCAGCATCAGCATCAGCATCAGCATCATCATCATCAGCATCAACATCAGCATCTACATCATAATAATAATCAGTATCATCATCATCATCATCATCATCATCATCATCATCATCATCATCATCATCATCATCATATCATCATCATCATCATCATCATCATCATCATCATCATCATCATCATCATCATCATCATCATCATCATCATCATCATCATCATCATCGTCAGTGTCATCAGCATCATCATGGTCACCAGAATTATCCTCATCAACTACAGCAGCATCTGCATCAGTACCATTGTCGCCGTCATTCTCGTCAGCATCATCGCTAGCAGAATCAGCATCATCATCAGCACCATCATCAGCACCATCAGCACTAGCAGCAAATTCATCATCGTCGTGGTCATCATCATCTTCATCATCATCAGCAGAATCATCATCGTCGTCATCAGGATGAGCATCATCATCAACAGCAGCAGCATCATCATCCACAACAGCATCATCATCAGCATCAGCAGCAGCAGCAGCGCCAGCATCATCAGCATTGCAATTTGCAGCGTGATCAGCAGCATCGTCATCAGCAGCGCCATTCATTCCATCGTCCTCCGCATCCCCTCCCCCCTCCTCATCCTCCACCTCCTCCTCCTCCTCCTCCTTCTCCCCATCGGCCTCTTCCTCCTCCTCCTCCTCCGCCTCCGCCTCCGCCTCCTCCTCCTCCTCCTCCTCCTCCACTGCCTCCTCCTCCTCCTCCTTATCCTCCCGCAATCTACAATCACTCAATATGAATACTACTCTCCCTCTTCGCCTGATGACGGTTTGAAAATATTAGCCTCCCCCCCGCGTACTTTTTTTTTACACACAGGATTCTCCTGAGTTGGGTTTTCGCCTACATTTGTTGCCAAAAAACTGCTCTCGCTGAGGCGCCGGCATCATTTTCGGGCCCCGCTCGTTCCGAATCGTGCTCCCGCTGCAGCGCTGGCCTCATTTCCGTGCTTCCGCTCGTTCCGAATCGTGCTCCCGCTGCAGCGCTGGCCTCATTTCCGCGCTTCCGCTCGTTCCGACTCGTGCTCCCGCTGCAGCGCTGGCGTCATTTTCCGTGCCATGCCACGGCATGCAATGCAATGCTAGGTTAATACTCGCTTTGCGGTGCTCTTCTACGCCATGCCATGCCGTGCTCTACAATGCATCGCGTACCCTTTCGGGATCATTGCCCTGCTGGACATCCGACTGTGCGAGTAGAGAGGGGATCTACGCCATGGTAAGGGTTGGGTGGGTGGGGTAGGATGTCAGATATGACGCGAGCGCACCTAGCTTGTCCCCCCCCCCCCCCTCCCCCTCCTCCTCATCCTCCTCCTTCCCCTTCCTCGTCCCCCTTCCCCTCCTCCTCCCGCATCCTCCTCCTCTTCCTCCCCCTCCTCCTCCTAGTCCCCATCGGCCTCCTCCTCATACTCCTCCTCTTCTTCGTCGTAGTATTCATATTCGTCTTGTGTTACGTTCCCGAATATTATTGGTTCTTACTATCATTATTATTCGTATTATTCGTATTATCATGTTCTTCTTTACTAATAGCATTCGTAGTATTAGTACTATGTGTCTTATTCGTCGAATTGTTGTTATGCTTCATAATAACATGTTTACCATTAAAACTAATAG